CTTTACGTCTCAATGGACTTGGTGGTCTCCAGGAATGGCCAGAACCGTCCAAACGAACTCCAGCAACGCGACGCAACGAGGAATAAATGGCCGTCAGCTTTCCTTCGACGTCTTTTTTGGCTGATTCTAAATGCGTTACTTGGGCATCCAACGCTGTAACTCGGCTTTCTGCACCACTCAATTTCACCTGAAAAATTCATTATTCACTATATAATGTGTAATTTACAAGGAATTTATTAAATAAGGACGAAATACTCAGACGAAAATGTAATCGTTTTCTTCGAAAACTAACTTGTAAACTAATTTTCTTGAAACATGGATGTCACTTGATTTTCTTACGTTACGTCAAGTTATGATCGGTTATCCTGCATAATTTTGACCGGATTAAGTAAGACAAGGTTTTGTTTTCATCAGTCAAATAATTTTTGCTCACCCTGAGTTCTTGCAACTGCGATGTGGAGTCGTTGAGACAAATTTCCAGATTTCTGCGTTCCTCTTCCAATTTCCGAACGTTGAGAGTCGATTCCTCCAGAGCAGTTTGAAAAGCTGACTGACTCATTTCATTCGAATCTTCCACATCGTTCAAGCGTTTGTTCACATTCGCCACTTCTTTTATGGCTGTATCCCGCTCAGTCTCGACTTCCATGATCTTTTCAATAAATTTGACAAGTTCAGGACGATATTGAAGATGTCTTTACCCCCCACGAAATCTGAATGGTTCCCGCGTTTTCTGTTTACCTTTTGTCGAAGAGCAAACGATTCCCTGCGGTTTTCATCCCCCCTTTCTTCCTCACGTTTCAGCTTCGCTTCCAGCTCTTCAAATAATGCTGATCGGTTTTGCAGTTCCGATTCCAATGATTTTATCTGGCGTTTCAAATCAGAAACCTCACGCGTAGTTTCAATTTGCGTCCGTTCAGCTTCCCGCAATGAGTCACGCAAAGTCCTGATTTCTTTTTCAGCAGCGGCTTTTGCATCATCCAAAACTACGCGGAAAGTAAGTAATTTAAATCTCAAACTTAGATAAGTTGAGATCAAATATTTTCAAAATTTTAGAATCAGAACAACAAACCGGCAAGTCTTTTTTCCGCCTCGTCGAGATCACGTTTAACCTCATTCTTCTCACTTTCCGCTCGCTTAACCATTCCTCTCAGATCGCCGATCGTCTCAGACAGAGAATTCTTTTCATGAGTTTCTTCGTTCAGCAGTCGTCGAACTTCATCAGTTTCCCGACGCTGAAGATCTTTGGCGGCCTCAACTGAAGATTCATTGAGAAATAAGCAAAATTAACATTGAAAATGAGCTAAAAAGTGGGCGCAGAAAAAAAAAACTGACCATCTTTTATCTTCCGCTGAGCCTCGTTCAGCTCACGTTGAAGTCTTGCCTTGTGTTCCTCAGCCACGTGCAAACTTCCACGCAACTCACCAACTTCTCTCATGGCATTATCCCGCAAGCGTTTGACATCTTCCAATTCTGATTTTATTTCAGCCAAAACGTGTTCGTGAGAAGCTCTGAAAAAAAATTAAGAAACCCGAAATTAATTTAGATTTAAAAATTTAGAAGCCAACGGACTTACGCTGAGTCACGCAATTCGTTCTTCAATTTGGTCAATTGTCCCTGAAGAACGTAATAATTTGAGCGATCGTGTTCCGAGCGATTGGATCCATCCCTTCGGAGTCGGTCAATTTCATTTCTCAACTCCAGAATTTCTTTGTTCAATGAGGCGATTTTCTCCTGCAAACTTGTCTGCTCCTGTTGAACTAAATTGAAAATGAAAAGTAATATTATCTCCTACGAGATATATACGAAAAGAATCTTACCCAGCATTAGTGCTTGCTGTTTATCGTTTTCGGCCAAAACCATGGCTTCCTCGTGTTCTCTACGCATCAAATGAACTTGGCGTTGGAGGTCCGAGATACTTTCTTCCTTCTCCGCAACGGCCTGCTCTTTTGATTTCATCAATTTCGTGGTCATTTCCGCCAGCTTTCTTTCAAGATTTTTCACCGAAGTGCTCTGGAGGGTGAACGGGAAAAATATTGAAAAACAGTTTCCTCGAGATATCACGAACGTACAGATTTTCTGAAATATTGTTTGCAGTGGAAGATTCAGAATTCCCGTATCAATACTCATATTGGGTGAATCGCATGAAGAAATACTGTATGTCGAAACTGGGGAAGAATACGCAGGGAAAATTCAACGAAAGTTTTAAAGTTCAGCAGGGAAAAATTATCGCAGGTGAGTACTGCATTATATAAGTACCCATTGCCAATCAATTTTTTTTTAGGCTACGACGGATACAAAAAGGACCCTCAAGTGTAGATGGAACTTGGGATGACAACGCGAACTTCGAGTGAGATGACTACTAGTGACACCTACTCGAGAAAAAAACGATTCCCCATCGTAATCGACGATGTAGGAGAATAGATCCTACGGATTGCAACTTATTTACGAACGTGAAGATCATTCTTCAGAAAATGAATACTGTATACTGTACCTTATCTTCCTCTTTGCGACTGACTTCCGCCTCAAGATCCTTTTCGAGATTTTTCAATTTCTTGGCATTTTCGCGTACAATTTGATCAATCTGCTCCCTCAAGGAATCTCGTTCGTGCTTCAAATTCTCAATTTCCAACGCGGAATCTTTTCGTAACTGATTGATCTGCGTCGTCAATGCTTCGCGCTTCAAAAGCAAAGTCTGATTCTCGCCTTCCAACTGTTCTTTTCTTGCTTCAAGCTGAGTTAAAGCCGACTGCGTTTCGTATAAAGAAAATTCGAGCCCCTGTTTTTCCACGCGCATCATCCCCAGAGATTCTTTCACGGCTTGCACTTCCTTCTCCAAGCATTGTTGTCTAACCTGATGAAAAAAAACCTCAGTTTTTGAGCACTTCGAAAACCATTAAAAAACAACGAAAATAACTCACGATATAATCAGACTTTTCCTTCGAGAGTTCTTCTCTTTCGACATTCACTTGGTCGAGGATAGACGTTATTCGTTCGATTTCTCGTTTTGATAGCAATAATTCCTCGGCGAAAGAATTTTTCTGCTTTAGAATGGCAGTAAATTCCATTTGCATGTCTTGCTTCTCGCGATTTCCTTCTTGAATGAAGGATTCCAACTGACAAGAAGGACAAAGATTAAATAAAACGGTTGCGTGGACATGATTTTCTTTCTTACCTTTTCTTTATCAATTGTAAGAACGTTGATCTGTTCGTCAACGCTTAGACGAGCACTTTCCAACTCAAGTTTGAGCTGCTCCAGTATCAAATGCTCTTCCTTTAACGCGTGTAATTCTTGATTAAGTTCATTCTTCTCAGCTTGAATCGCATTTCTTTCTTGTTCAACCTGCCATTTCAAGGATTAATAATGGGTTGTCAAATACAATTTATCTGATTTTTTTTTCTTCAGAAAAACGTACATGCCGCAATTGGTCGTTTAAGGAGGTTTTCTCCTCAACAAGTGTTTCATTGAGGGTTTGGAATTTCAACAACGCGTCCCTTAATGCCGCCTGCTCGTTTCTTAGCCTCGTTACTTCCACCTCGAATTGATCTATAAAAGAAATTATACATGCTTAAATGTCACAAAAGCAATCTAAAAATGTAAATACGTACTTCTTTTGAGATCAGAGTGCATGAGAGCGTTCTCGACATCAACCTTTTCTTGTTCTAAAACATCACGGTTTATAGTTGACTTCTCCAAACCATTTCGAAGCGACACCAGTTCTTCTTTCAGTCCACTGACTTGCTCTTCCAGCGATTTTCGCTTCATGGTGCTGATAATTTTATTCATAAAATATTAGAACTATCCTAATACTAAAAAATTGAAAAAGTCTTACGATTCGTCCAGATCATAGCGAACACGCTGCATTTCGGCCGATATAGTCTGATTTTCTTCATCTAACTTGTCAATCGTTTGTTGCTGTTCAGCGTTGTGCTTTTGAAGCTTGCTGTTTTCTTCGTTCAAGGTTTCAATCTGTGTAAAGAACGCAGCATTTAGAGGTTGAAAATATTGCAGTCTTCCGACAGAAAGTTGAGAGTGTCAAATGATTTCCGCACGCAGTCCCATTTTTGAAATTTAGACTCCACATTTGATAAAAACCCTAGGGCAGTGCAGAAAATGATCGAGAATAATTTCAGGATAATTTCCCCGTCTTTCACATTTTTTTCCGCAGAGGATTTTTCTATGAATGATATAGAGAAGGAAAAACGTTTTCTCGGCGTTGCCTGAATTCAGAGTGATGATTACTATTTTATGCAAAATAAGTTTTGGAACGTGTGCTTTAAAAAATTGAAATCTTATGACGAGACGGCAAGGTTTTGGTTGATTTCGTGAGCTTTCTTTTTGTGTGCAGGAATGAAATCAAGTGATGGACTGCTGGTTGCTGGCTTCTTTATCGTACACAACGCCAACTCAATTTGATGGGCAGAGAATTAAAATGTGAAGACAGGAAATCATTCACATAATTCTTCTAAATAATTTGATCATGTATTTTTAAAAGATGTCCATTTCGAATTGAAAAATGTGACTGCCCGCGTAAATTGGACACTGATTTTCATACGAACTTGAGCATTTAAAGTGACTCGAATTTTTTCCAACGACGACTGGTCCTCGAGTGCAGTTTGGAGGGAATTCGAGAGCCGATCACGTTCAGCTGACAGTTCCAGCTTGATCTGGTTCGTCTTGGCGAGTTCTGACCTGAACCATTTGAGCTACAAAGCAAAAGAAGGGAAGAAAAATTTTGAATAAAATACAGCATTATAATTTTATAGATCACATGTATTTTAGAGTTCTTTGGCATGACTGCGCTGGCCATTGAAAAAATACCACGGATAAAAATTTCCGCACGCTTTCCAGCAATTGATTTTTGATTTTGCCTTTTTTTCTGAACTTGAGGAACTCAAGCACCAGTCTGAAAACTTCAGAATGAACTTGAAAATTTATTTTTACGTATACTCCATTCTTTACAGCAGCAGGTCTCATTCATTTTCATCACATTCAATTTCCAGGATTGAGAAAACTCATCTCTGATGGATGCTATAATTTGTCGAGAAAATGGAGCAAGCTATTATTTTGAAAAGGGAAGGGTTACTCAGAACATTTTTCTTGAATACAGGTTGATTCAGAACAAGATATAAAATTTATTGAATACGGAATGACGCAGAGAGAATAAAAATGGCGGTCGCAATAAAGCAAAAATTGCAACGAAATAGATAAAACATCGAAAAAAAAACTTTGAAGCTCTCTGTTTTTTTTTTAAGTTAAAATCGTTCAGGGGAAAGATACCCAGCAAAAATATGTTTCATTTTTCAGAGTTTTTTTCTCATAAAGTGTACGCTTACCTTCTCGGACTCCTGAGCAAACTGCTGCTGCGCAACAAAATGGATCTCGGTCTATGGATGGTAACATCTTCTGCGAAGTCCACATGCGACCCTGGCAGGGTATTGGTAACATCAGTGGTTCCAGCACCAGCGGTTGAAGACGACGGCTGTTGGCTGAGGGCAACGTGATGCGTTTCATAGGGTGAGCGTTCATGAACGGTTCTGTCTGCATCATCTACGACCATTTGCGCAATATCGCGAAGCGCTATTTGCAAGATACGAATTTCATCCCGCATAGCCGCCAAATCCATATTGGATCCAGTGTCTGGCTGATTTCCATTCTCTTCCTTCATGGTGGAACAAAATAAAGCAGTAAGAACACATGAAGTTGACAATATTCGTCAAAATGCAACATAACTTCGAACAGCTCAGGCGGGATTTCACATTCTTCTTTTTTTCCGAGACGGGAAAACGCAGATCCAGAAAGTGAAAAACTCGAAGCAGCAAACTTTTAAATTTTGACAAATGATCAAAAAAATATTCTGCTGGAATGCATTTCAAGGGGCCGAAAACTTCGAATAAAGTTGCATCAATAAAATAAAAATATTTTTTTCGCCGCTATCGAATAATTATTCAAAATATGCCCGTAAAATGTGGAAATCTTTCGGGGCAAAAAAACTTGGGAATGCATGAAGAAATAATCTATTTATCGAAATGAACAAAACAGTAGAAGAATAAAAAATAAATAAAATGAATTATTTTGAAAATTCACCATGCTTTGAATGGATGTGTTGAGCCGCTGAATGAGGGTTTCTTTGTCAGTAAGAAGCATTCGTAAGCGATCAGCTTGCTGCTGATGCTCCTTGATTTGCTGCTCCAAAGTTTCCTTCTCCATTCTCCACTCGCACTCAGCTCGCTGCAAGTCCCCAAGTTTCCGCCAGAGTTCAGCGGTTTGAACAACGTCCTGAAAAAAAAATCATTACTCTAACATTAATAAAAAAAATAAAACTCACGAATTAAAAAAAATTACATCTTGTTCTTGACGCATCAGAAGAACGAAAAATAAAATGTGAAATAACTAATTTTGTTTCTAAAAATATAAAGATACAGAGATAATGAAGGCATCACCTTTTCGGATCGTCGGACTTGGGTTCGAGCGACGACACCCAAACACGCAGCCTTGACTTCTTGAGCAACTCGACCAACGTCCAATCTCGCGCGAGATAAATCTTTTTCAGTCGCGTGCTTCAGCTGGTTAAACTGCTGCCGGAAGGTGAGCAAATCCCGCCACACAACCAACAATCGGTTGTGCTCGTTCGTCAAATACTTGTTGTACGACTGCAATCAAGAGGGGGAAAAAACCCCAATTAATTGTAAAACTGGGAGACAATTATTCAGTTAAAATATCCTTATTCACGATAATGGACATTTCAAAAAAGCAACTCTTTCGCGATTCCTCAAAGAACCACATCCGATTTCAGCCTAAACCAGGAACGAGAAAAAAAAATATTTGACAAAAATTGTCCAATATCTGTTCTACAACTGCACTTAAGAGGTAAACGCTTAATCAATTTCAAAACTGGGAGAAGATCATTCATTTAAAATATCTCGAATCATGTTAGACATTCTAATGCAGCAACTTCTCCGCCGTTCCTCACAGAACCCCATCAGATTCCAGACTGAACCAGGGCAGAGAAAGAAAATTTCGACAAAAATTGTCCAATGCTTTTTCTATGACTGCGATCAGGGGAGACAAGTTCAATCAATTTTAAAACTGAGAGAAAATTATTAAATTAAATTATCCCCGATTCACAATAGACTTTCCAATCCAGCTACTTCCTCGCGGTGGGTTCCTCACAGAACCAAATCCGATTTCAGACTAAATCAGGGCCGAGAAAAAATGCACGTGAACCAGGCCCAAGAAAAAATGTATTTGGCAAAAAGTATCCAATATTTTCTCTGCGACTGCAACCCAGAAGGAAAACCTCAATTAATTTTAAAACTGAGAGAACAGTATTCAGTTAAAACACCCCCGCTTCACAACAGACATTCCATCGCAGCAACTTCCTCAACCACATCCGATTTCAGACTAAACCGGGGCCGAGAAAAAATGCACGCAAATCAAGCCCAAGTAAAAAGTATTCGGCAAAAAATGGTCCAATATTTTTTTTCCACGACTGCAATCAAGAAATAAGAGCTCAATGAATTTTAAAACTGGGAGAAAATTATTCTATTTAAAATATACCCCGATTCACAATAGACATTCCAATGCAGCGCAAATTCCTCGCGGTTCCTCACAGAACCACATCCGATCCCAGACTGAACCAGGGTCGAGAAAAAATGCACGCTGATGAAGCCTCTCTCCCTCTCAACGAGACTCCGCAAAAGCGCAAAAAAATCCCAACGAAATACATTGCCTCATAAATTCTCATCAGCTTCCGCTTTTACTCCTCACACACATATAAACCCAGAATGGGTTCGAATATGAAAAGGTGCCTGGGCACCAACGACCAAGCAGCCCGGAACATGCCAACTCCTCATCACGATCCCATTCGCGCCTCGGGATTCGTTTTTCATCGCACCCGAAACCCAGCGTCAAGATTGAGCGTCTAGAAAAACCCCCCACTACTACTTTGTAACAGTCTTCCAGACTTTGCTCGCAACAAACGGAAATAAAGGAGAAAATAAACTGGCTTTTCCAAGACGCATTATTACAATTCACAACGGTGCTGTTTGGGCTGGCGCTTGAATTTATGTCGCAATTTTTCCGACAGAAATTACCCACTTCTCCCACTAAATCGGTTTAAACATTACACCGAATGGCGAAACACACATTTTCATTACTAAGATATTTTTAAAATATAGCCTTTTCCTACAAAAAATGGTTTTTCCGGGACAATTTATTTTGCGTTTATGATTTTTTCGGTTCCGCAGAAAGGCACTGGTGAATTTTCATAATTTAATCTTTTTATATATAGAGGAAGTTCTGGCATTTCCGGGAATATTTTATCAAGAGAAAGACATTGCTATCATTCTTAAACAAACAAGAACTCAGCTGACAAAGTTTTCACTAGTTGGATCCAGAAGACAAATTAAAAATCAGAAAAATATCATCGAGAAGCTCGAGGGTTTTACAGTACCCTAACCAAGCTAGTATGATAGGCTCATCACAAGCGGGAGTGTACAAAATGAGCACGAACAAGGACCGTTTTTACACAATTGAGCAGGCATACAAAACCTTAGCGAACTCATGAACATGCATCAACAAATTCAGTACCAATTTATAAAACCAAGCCTTACACACATGGATTTTAAACAAATAGTCGTTCTTCCGCAAATTTAATTTTTTTATTGTATATTTGTGTTTCCAACAAAGAAAAAACAGTTATACAGTACTTCTCCAAATTAATTCTGATGGGTTCAAGAAAAGTTATGCTTCATAAGTCACCACCTGATCCGCGGAACTATGAAGTTACATTATTGAAGAATGGAGAGAAGAAGTGAGAAAAAATGTACCTCGAGGGAGGATTTAAGAATCAAGTACGACATTCTAAATCAATTTACGTTCTTTTTTTTTTGGTACTGTACAAGAAAGAATTTACGATCAAAGCTTCTGATCAGAGCAGGAGCCAGTCCCCCAATGGCGGCTTCGTGGTTGGTCTGAAAGTCGACACTGCGCTTCGACACCAGTCTTTCCGGGCACTCCCATAAATCACCGGGCTCAAATAACATGCCCATTGGCTACGCCGAGGAAAAACTAACACGGGACGACGGAGAAAAGCCCCCTAATTTCCTCGATCGTTTTCTCCCCGCGTATAATACCTTGGAGGAAAACTGACCTGACCGCGGGGAAAACCCCTCCCCCTAATACTGCCAAGAATTCATCCTTCATGCGGAGAAATCACAGGTCGCCTGAGCTGCCTTTCCGTGTGGCCAGCACGGCAGAACATGCAATCATGGTTCAACTGCCAAATGCCATGGGGAGTCTTGCTTTTTTATTTCGCATGGCTATTCAGCAAAATTTTATTCGTAACTTTCAAGACTGCGACTGTCTAGAAAACAAAAAAGGTTGGCCTTCACATTATGCCGCTTGAAGATCGAACATCTATAAAGTCATCAAATATACATGCACAGCTAAATGCTCATATGTTCCTCAAAATAAATTTCCGAGGAAACGAAGATCGGTATAACGAGTTATGTGCTTCACAATGAATTTGTTTTTTATCCTTGTTCAATAGCCAAAATGCTGCAATATTTAAAATTTATTTTAATGCATTTTTATAACAAAGCCATTTTTAAGGTCCCAAATGCTTCGTTGTAAAGAGATTCTACGGTATAAAATCTAGTTTTCAATAAGTTTTGAAAATAATTCCCAGCGGCGCGATGAATGCTTCAAAATTTTTGTCGGTGAAATAACTTTTAGTTATCTGGGCACAGTATTTCCTGGGACAAACTTTTTCAAACTACTGTACTCTGGATAAATGACGAGACTCGAATAACACCTCTGATCATTTTCAGAAGATTTTCTGCAAGTTTGCTGGCCTAAACAACGGATTGCTCAACAATCAAAATTAAAAAGGAACCGTCACATTCAGCATCACGGACACCGAAACTGCACGGATTAAAATATTTTAATCGAAATGAAATCTCCAGATCTGAATAAGTTTACTTCGAAAATTCTTGAAATCATTCGAAATGCTTGATTTAATTCGAAATTTCTGGATATACAGTAATTCAAAAGAAATTCAAGTATGGCAGGCAATCAGTTTTACAAAAATAATAGGTGCTGCTCTGGCAACTCTCAGTCCCTTTCAATCAAATCTAGGAGAACGAAGAAACAGCGAATCAAGCCTGGATGATATTTTGTAGGAAAATAATGAATGCTGATCCCAGAGAAGATTAGATCCTAACAAAGAATTCAAAAGATAAGCTTCAAGATTAGGAAACAAAAGATGTTAGAATTCAAGGGCACAACGGATGACGAAAGCAGGGAAAACTGCAACTTGAAACCATGAATAACGTCCCTCATTCAGGAAAAAAATACCTGTACATATTCTCTGCAGAGCATTTCAGTTGTTTCACCCGAATTCTTTAATTTATACAAGTTCAGCAACGTTCAAAATAATTGATGACTAACCTGTTCTTCTTTTCGCCAATCGTCTTCTCGGCGTCTGAGCTCGTCTCGCGTCCGTTGCCATTCTGCAGTTATCTTTTGAATATCCGACTGCGATGTCTCCAACTGGTCCCTCAACAACGCATTCACACGAACCAAATTATTGCACCTGAAAATAATAATAGTCAAACACGCAGGGTTCAATTATTTATAAGATGGCAGGCAATCAGTTTTACAAAAATAATAGGTGCTGCTCTGGCAACTCTCAGTCCCTTTCAATCAAATCTAGGAGAACGAAGAAACAGCGAATCAAGCCTGGATGATATTTTGTAGGAAAATAATGTATGCTGATCCCAGAGAAGATTAGATCCCAACAAAGAATTCAAAAGATAAACTTCAAGATTAGGAAACAAAAGATGTTAGAATTCAAGGGCACAACGGATGACGAAAGCAGGGAAAACTGCAACTCGAGGGTTCATGAAAACCATGAATAGCGTCCTCATTCAGGAAAAAAAATACCTGTACATATTCTCTGCAGAGAATTTCAATTGTTTCATACGAATTCCTCAATTTATAGAAATTCAGCAACGTTCAAAATAATTGATGACTAACCTGTTCTTCTTTTCGCCAATCGTCTTCTCGGCGTCTGAGCTCGTCTCGCGTCCGTTGCCATTCCGCAGTTATCTTTTGAATATCCGACTGCGATGTCTCCAACTGGTCCCTCAACAACGCATTCACACGAACCAAATTATTGCACCTGAAAATAATAATAGTCAAACACGCAGGGTTCAATTATTTATAAGCATCAAAACGTTTCTCTTAAATCATTTTGTTCAACAGCAAGAAATTTAACGTCAGACAAGACGGCGGTGCACTGACGAGAAAATGAGAAGTATGTACGGTATTCAAATTTTCCGAGGCTCTGGTTATTCCAACTCCATTTCAAAAACAGTAAAAAAACTCGAAAAATAGAAGATTAAAACCTTTTCGATCAAGCTCGAAATTTCCATCAATTAATTTCTCTCTTGAGCTTCAGTTTCCCAAACCTGGTAACGAAGGGAGAGGGTAATTTTGCTCGTCAAATGCTGTTTCAAAGTTTTATTTATTATTTTTTGGGGAATTTCATGCAAAAAGTCGAGTTCAATTGACAGAAACAAAATTCGAATTGAACAAACCGGGCTTGCTCGCTGTCGAGTTTAGCTAGTGCAGTTTCCAGGTCCGTGGTGTGCTCTACTTCGGACGCTCGTATCCGCTCATCGTATTCCCTCTGCTTCACCTCCAAGTTTCCCTCCAGCTCTTCGCATTTTTGTCGATACTGGTGGACCTGGGAAGATTTCATTTTCAAATAAATGAGCAATAAAATTCGTAATTGGTGTTCAGGAATAGTTGAAAGAATTTGAAACCTTTCCGATTTAGATCTTCGCGCCATCGCGAGCCGAAGAACATCATTCAGAGAAAAGAAAGAAGGCCCTTTCGAGAAGCGAAATTTGCTCAATTTTAAATGCATTCAGCGTATCATGAACGAAATCTTTGTCGGATTTCGCGATCAATGATTAGGAAAACGTAGTTAATGCATTGTATTTCGTCTCCATTTTCAATGCAATAAACATAATTTTCATAAAATAGGGTTGCAAGAACAAAGTTTGAGTCGTAAGTTTATAAATTTATTCACAAATTTCCTCGAAGGCGAAGGACATGGATCAGTGAATGCTTACTAAGTTAACACAAATAATCTCGAAGTTATTCAAATTCAAGCTTCAAAAATCACATTTCAAAAAGAAAGGAGACAAGAAAAGAACTCGGAACTCGGCCTTGACTCTTAAAATACTCACTTTCTCCTCATCTCCGTCATTCGGCGAATTTGTCTTCGTTAATACAACTTTAACAATATACGTTTTCGCTTTAGGATTTTGAAACTGACTTGAATTCGTCGATTCTACTTCCTCAGAAGCAACATCATCCAAGACAATAGCCGACACATCGGAACCATCATGCATAATCAAAACTAAACTTAATTGGAGGACGACTAAAATGAATATTTCAAGAAGTTGGAAACCTGAGATTTAAAAAATGTCTACCTAGAAACGGAAGAGAGAATCACGTTTAAATCGATTCACTTTACGTTGTGCGAACAAGAATTGATCAGATTTTAAACGAACTTCGACTATTCACCATATGAATAGTAAATGAACTTCACCATACCCAGGGGCATTTTAATCTCAAATAGCGCTCCATGGAGTACGGTAAAGTATTTGCAATTCAGGGTGTAATCCAGATAATCCATGTAATTTCTGAGGGTTGACTAGTTTTTATGAGTGAATTTCCGGATATTTCACTAGAAAGTGGGGCAAATGGGCTTTTCAATAATTCAGAATTTTTAGTTATCAAGATCAAGCAAAATAATATATTTTTTTATTAAAAAACATTCTCGAAAAATTGTTTCGACAATACAAAACCGGAAAGAAGTCTGCTGAGCTTCAATCATTTTATTTGATCCTTCATCTATGTTGAACTGGGTACAAGCAAAATAATATATTTTTTTATTAAAAAACATTCTCGAAAAATTGTTTCGACAATACAAAACCGGAAAGAAGTCTGCTGAGCTTCAATCATTTTATTTGATCCTTCATCTATGTTGAACTGGGTCACTGGTATTTTTTCTTTTTCCTCGGCAGCCGAGGGAAATTGAGAACCCAGAGATTCACCCACACCTCCTGCAGTAATGCCCCACACTGTTGAAAAATTTGCCTGAAATCCAACAATTCTTTTCATCGAACACTGTTTCAACCTTAGCAGGGCTAAAAAAATTCTTACACTGCAACAATGACAGCGGAACATCGCAGACAAACTGATTGTGTTCCGTCCAAGCTTCGGACACACTCATCAATCCTTCATCCATTTTTTTCTTCGATCATCTCCCCACACCCCTGACTTCCGCCAAAATCAACACCTAACCATCACCTTCCCGGAAACAAGAGGGAATTCCTTCATAGTTCATACAAAAATAATGTCCGCATCACGCAAAGCACACGTGAAACAGTCCGAAAAGAAAAAAAAAACATGCCGCTTTCTAGACAAGTGAGACATTCAAGGGAAAAAAAATGATAACAAATCCCGACGGAAGCCCTGTTTGCGTGACAGGCACAGGACAAAACGATTTCATTGGAAAGGATGCCACCCACCTCCGGCACCCTTCGTGTCGGCCGAAAATCACTGCAGCACCCCAATGCTCTCCAACCACTCATTTATTTTCGTACAGTAATTCCACCACGCGTGTCATAAGCGGGTATTCTTTCTCGAACAAGAAGAGAAAGTTTTATTTTTATCAGTTGATTATCCACAGACAGCTAATGAAATGTTGAAGAAGTGATCATTAATTTCATAGTGACCCGCAACGAGGGATTCAAAGTGGGGAAAATTGCGCCTCGATGCTCTGCTGCGACTTATTTCTTTAATGTTAGTTCCACGCGTTAGAAGATGGTTGACAAATTGGCAAAGGGAGAAGCTTAGAGACATCCACTGATCATAAAAAGTGTTCACAAAAAATGCTTTGAAAAATTGAAAATTCATACTCGTGGTGTTATAAGGTTATTTCTGTAGACAACTTTCAAAAAGGGGTGCCTAAGTCTTAACCCGTACTAAGAGTTAAGGAACGCTGGTTTTATTTATAATTGCTCTTCGTTCCAAGGCTTTTTTTAGTAAATAAGATAAAATATAGTTATACAGAGCAATATCTTTAGATGAAAAAAACAAGATTCCTCCAAGATTAAGGTGACCATGGAATCTTGTCCTTTTCGGCGAATCACCAAAATTTTGACTTTTTTGAGATCGGAATTTCTCTGGTGAAATACTTGATTCCAAGTTAGCACGAGTCGAACTCATTAGGTCAGTACTGCGTAGATTTCATACGGCACTTTGGGCGCATTCTTTGATAATCTCTGTTGAAATAAATTAGACAAATAACTGAATTTAAATACTGTACTGTACAACAGTTTCAATACAAGCTGAGCAAGTTGATCGGATTATTCCGTCCACCGACCATAACCCAAAACTGATGTGATTATGACATGAAACGAAGAATAGGAAGATTTATTCGAAGTGAATGAGCACGAAAGAAGCCTATTAATGTTAGGCGACTACTTGTATATTTATGCGGCTGTTATTAATTGGCTTTATCTCGGTATGCCGGTCATTTCACGGCTTTTAAATCGTCGAGCATTATATAGGAGACCCATCAAAATAAATGGCAACTCTTTCTACCGTGGCAAATTGCGACGTATTTTACCCATGCTACGCTTATACCGGGTTTCAAGACTTGCACTGGTTCAAATAAATAAATGGAGATTCACGGAAAGATTGTTTCAACTCCAAAATTTCATCAGAAACTGCATGGCGTAAACGAGGTCAGGTGTGAAAATTTTTATTGTGACGAATCAAGTAAATCCAGGACTACCGTTTCTCTTTTTTGACTCCATGAAATTAGAGAATATGCGAGACCCGATCTTCAAAATGTGGAATCACCTTGAAGAAATTTTGAATGAAAGTTGATTTATTTATTTTCTAAACTGGAAAACAACTTGAAGTAATAAGGCTCATTTTCATGCCTACAGATGAGATTCTGCGGGATTTTCTTCCGGCATCGACATTTTTCTGCATCTTGGAAGCTGAGAAAAAATATTCTATTCAATTTTTTGGGGGCTTTCTCTTAATTTTGGTAAGTTCTCATAAAAATTCCACGGGAAAACGGGATCGAACACGGGGACAAAACTTTTCTTCGTGACAAATCAGGTAAATCCAGGACAACCCTTTTTCTTTTTTTGAATCCATGAAATTAGAGAATACGCGAGACCCGATCTTCAAAATGTGGAATCATCTTGAAGAAATTTTGAATGAAAGTTGATTTCTATATTTTCTGAACTGGAAAATAACCTGAAGTAATAAGGCTCATTTTCATGCCAACAGATGAGATTCTGCGTGGTTTTCTTCTAGGATCGACATTTTTCTGCATCTTGGAAGCTGAGAAAACATATTGCATTCAATTTTAGGGGAGCTTTCTCTTAATTTTTGGTAAGTTCCCATAAAAATTCCAAGGGAAAACGTGATTAAACACGGGGACATTCCAACGAAAGGTCAAGGTCCACGCATCAATTACATCCGCATCTTGGGATCCCAATGCACTTTTTTTTTAATAATACAGTTCTGCATATATTATAATTTACATAAATGAACTCGGGCTTCCTTACTTTGGCTTGGAGACGGGATACGAGGTTGGCCTGTTGGTCCTGGGCCTTCTGATACGCGTCCCACTTGCGTTGCCAAGACGATC